CCCCGCCCCGCCCCGGCCCTGCGCCCTCTCCGCCTCGACGGCCTGGGCGCTGCCCCCCCACGTCCCCCCAACCCCTACCCTGTCGGCCCGGAGACCCGCCTCAGGGGGCGCCTGGAGGGGGTGCCGTCCGAGCCCCCCGCACCCAGGGAAGGGACGCAGCACACCCCCAGCCCCAGTGCACAAAAAAGGGCCCCCTCCTCCCTCCATCCCAATCCCCTTCAGGCCAAAGGAAGCCCTCCACCCACCCCGGAGGGAAGGGGGTGACAGAAAAGGAGTTCCTCAGTTCCCTTTCCATTCAGGACGCTCAGGGGGGCCTCGAGGAAAACCAGGGCTCACGTGTCGTCCCGAAAGCGGGTCAGGAAGCACATACTAGAAACATAAACCGGGTATTAAAAAAAGGAATTTAAGGAATAACCCCTCCTTCGCCAGTCCCCGCCCCCACGGAGCGGTCCTCCGCAGACCCTTCCTCGAGAACCCAGCCTCTCCAAAGTCGCCAAAGCCCACGTCGAGCTGGATCTTCGCAGTGCCCCCACCCGCACCGAGACGACCCTGATCCGCCGGCAAGAACCCAGCCGCCCCTCCCGGCGGCCAGGATTCCTTGTGCCAAGAATTGCCTGCCTTAACGTCTGGGGAGGGGCCTGCCGCGGAGACCGCCCAGCACCCACAGGCGAGCCCCCTGCCCCACCCTGTCCCAGACTGGAGGGGACGGCAGCTCAAACAAGCGGGTAATTCCAGACGCCTCCCTCCCCGCACCTTCTGCCCATTCACTTTACCGCCTAGGCACCTTGATGAATGACACACAGGAAGAGACCGACCCCAGGAAACAGAAGAAAACACCCAGATTCCACGCAGAAACGGGCCCAGGGAGAGCAGGAGCGCACCTGAGCCCCTGCGTGTCGCGGCGTCGCTGTCTGCTCCGGACCCTCGAACTCATGCCCACCTTTTCGCGCCGGGAGGACCGCGCTGGGCCTGCAGGGGCGCAGGGGTGGACCTGTACTCGCTGCTTTCTCTCCAAAGAGAGAAAGAAGGTGATAAACGAGGTGGAATCTGCTTGCTCCGATTTTTGCCAAAAAAAAAAAAAATAACAAAGGGGGAAGGAAGGATCAGAAATGAATTAGAGCACCTCCCCCTCCCTCCTCCCTGATCGCCTTGTCCGGGTGACCTCCAGGACTGGCCGGCAGCTGGATCCCAAGAGCCCGTCGCCCAGGGCTCAGGGGCTGGAGACTAGAAGGAATTCTCCCCCCTCCAAACCCGCCCGGACCGCTGCCTCCCTGGGAGGTGGCTACCCCTCCCCCTTTGAGAATGCAAGAGACATCTCTAGTGAAGTGCCCCTCCCCCTCCCCAGGTAAAGGCTACCTCACTCAAATGTTCACGTCGGTGATTGGAAAAATCACGCCTGATACCAAAGATTTCCCCCAAGGACTTGTGCTGGATGCTAGGATTCCCTGGCTTCGGAGCCGCGGGTGCGTGAGGGTCTGCTTTGGGCCCTTCCCCCCAGGTGCCCCCGCCACCCACCAGAGAGAGCAGAGAGAGTGCCAGAGCGAGAGAAAGAGAGAGAGAAGAGAGAGCGCGAGCGAGAGGGAGAGGGAGAGGGCAGCGAGGTCGATGAGTGCCTTTTTCTTGAACCAAAGACGTGTGTGTGATGCTCTCTTGTCCTTATCGACTCGCTATTCTCCCCGATTTTCAAGCAGCTGGATCTGAGTGATGCTTCTAGAACCTTTGGGTGTTGGGGCAGAGTGCTAAGGGTCCCCGTTCCCGCTCAGCAGCCACCCCTCCCTCAGACACACGCACACGCGCATGCGCGCGCGCTCGCCGGCCGCTGTCCTTTCCGCGGCGTCACCGGGCACCGGGCGCTGGGGTCCGGGTGGACGCCGCCCCTCCCTCCACCTCCCACTAACACCTGGCCCCACTGGACAGAACACCTGCTTGCAGGGGACAGAGCTTCCCCAACGCCCTCTGCCAGGCCCCGAGTCCAAGGTCCGTCCCCTGCCGGAAAGTCAGGAAGTGACTTGGGGTCCTTCTCTTTATGGTGAACAGCGGTGGGGTCATCGGGCCGGACTGACACCAGTCACAGAAGCATCCTTATCAGACACCCTCGGACTACACACGCACGCCCGTGGGCACAGGTACACGCACGCGCGCACACGCCAGCCCCCCACCTGCCCCCCAGCCCCCAGGCGCCCCGCCCTGTCGCCCCACACCCGGCTGGCTGTCACCTACCAAAGACCATCTCCGCACGGGGAATGACACCTCCAGCACAGCTCCTTCGAGCCTTTGACAATTTTCTCTGAAATACCTCAAGATATTTAATGTATAGTTTATGTGATTTAAAAAAATCCTTAGCTAGTTTTTGGAATACGTGACTTGAAGCTTTATACCGTTAAATTATAATTTTGCAGACGATGGTATGTCGTTTCTGTGATGAGTTCCGTGGGAGACATATTGAATGTCAGGGCAGCGGGATCTGGGTGGCCAGTGGTCAGAAGCAAAAGG